TAATTATATATACTTAAATTATATTATTATACTATATTTGACATAAAATTGGAATAAAAATAAATTAACCAAGATAGTGTTTGCATTCATTTTCATTGAAAAAAACATTATCTCTCTACTCGTGCTGTGTTTTTGAATATATTACGAAAAATTGAAAAGTTTATTTTATTTTATAATTCTTCGTTTCTTTTGTACATATGTCATTCTATCGATACTCAATTTATCGATAATTGTTAGTCAACATAACGAGTGTCTTATTTTAATGAGAACAGCTTATGTAAAAATTGCACTTAGGTAGTGTTTTGAAAACATCTTGATGTCACCTACTGCAACGTGTTCTGGGATATTAAAATGAGACACCCTGTATGTTCTATCTGAGAGGATAACGACAACTTCTGGTATTAGATTTTAACGCGAATTGTTATTCAATTTTCAATATCGAAAACATTTTTGCATAAAATTAAAAAAAGATATATTACTTTTAGTTTCATTTAAAAATATTTTATCAATTTCCTCAATCAAAAATCACGTATAAGGTAGGAAAAAGTGGCTGAAATCAATGCATTACGTGTCAGTAGGTAATTAAAAACGTATCGATACTGTTATTTTTATATTTTAATCTGTAACACACGTACAGAGATATTTCGAATATTCTCTGGTGGTGAGCGAGTTGCAATTCTAACACAAACGAAATTAAATCAAATCAAAAACTACCGATGAATAAATAAGATACTATCTACAAACTGTAAGAAAAAAGGTTGAGAATCACTGTAATAGTACAATAGAAATAATAGTATAGCAATTTTACATCGCAATTCTATTTTATAAATCGAAAAAGCATATTGCTTTCAGACTATACCAATTTCGTGACTAGCCCCGAAAGAAATAAAAACCACGAATAAGAATAATCGTTACCGGTCAGTGATATCGAGCACTTCGTCGCTGTAGGGGTAATGGCTAGTTCTGTAGGCGTTAGCACCGATCCATTGCAGTAACTCATGATCCCTAGCAACGGTGACCAGATCCAGACCGCGCCCTCTGAGGATCGAATCTTCGTGTCTACCGAATCCACGCATGTACACAGGCTTATCGTTCAGCAGCAAACTCGTATTTGTCCAGGTTAATGTTCTGATCCCAATTGGTAGCCTGTACACGTCTACTTTGCTGTCATTTGCCACTGATAATGAAACCTTGGAATTGTAATGTTATTACTGACTTTGCAACATCGGTGTAATACTTTTTCTAATGTTTAAGTAAGAAACTGAGATACGGATACGGTACACAGTAATATACATAAAACTGTAAACTTTGCGATTTGTGTAATTCGTATTCGTAATAACACATAGGGTGTCCCATTAAATCGATACGATCGAAAATCTATCTACGTAACTATCGGAGATACCGAAAATTATTTGAAACAAAAATTCGATGGTTTTAGAGGATATGTAATTTGATTGGAGTAAATTATTTCTAGATGAAAACAGAAGATATGGGAAGCTGAAATTTATTTTTTAAATGGAATGACATTTGAAAAAATTATCATTCATTTTATCGAAATTCGCCTATGTACAGTCAAGTCTCATAAAATCCGGTGCGAAAATTCAGACAATTTTTCTATAACGTGTTTTTCGTACAAAATTTACAATAATATGTAGCGACCATCATTCTCGCCCTCGCCACTAGATGGATTCCGCCTTCAAGGACTTTCCCGCAAATCCTCGGGAAACTCCCAGTTTCCTATATATATAATTTCCCGTCTTTCCAATAGTATCCCCAGTGTCTAAGGCAGGGCCTGCTAAGCAAGCCTTACTGATGAGTCCGCTATCAGGCCCGGGACGTAACGCATTCCTTCCTTTTCCTACCGTCCCTTCTAGCTACCTACTACCGAGGTGCCTACCAGCCGACGTCGAGGTATGGTGGGGGAGGACTCCCACAAATATATATGCCAATTTTTTCAAGACATTTTCAATCGATTAGAAAATGATGAAGGTAAAATTTTTCTTCGTGTTTGGAAAGAATTTTCTATTTTAGATTGCATTCGAATTACCTCATTAGCTTGCGTAGACATTAAATCGTCAACACTTAATGCGTGTTGGAGGCCTCTTTTACCTCAAATGGTCAAATGGGAAATGATATTTCAGTTCTAGAAATAGTAAACAATGCTTCTGCTTTGAGCAGTGAAGGATTTTCAGATGTAAATCATGAAGATATAGAACTACTTCGGGAAGAGAGTTTAAACGAGGAAGAATTAGTGGAATTAATTAATGAGTCTACATCAAATGCATTTGTGGAAGAAAACAAGGTTAACGAATTCGTTTCAAACTTCAATTATGATATAAAAAAAAAAGGGTTGGATTTGGCTAAAGAATTAGAAGATCACTTAATTCAAAATGATCCTTCAATTATGCACTGTGCAAAATTTAAAAGAAAATTTTCGAAGCGCTTCAGAGGGACTAACTAACAAGGCGCAACTAACAAGTTATTATTGTAATTCTTTTGCAGCAGGTTAAATAATAAAAGAACGTTATTTTCAAGCATCAATTATCTATTAGAATCGATAAAATTTACAATATAACTTAACATAAAAATAAGGAACAGAAACTAAACAAAAATTAATAGTTTATTTGTGTATGATAAATTTTTTTATATTGTTAATATTGTTGTGCGTATACTATATTGTTAATACGTTACTAATGATACTCGGAACAGATATACAAAAGAACAAACCCGTCCTCGCGTCTATTATTTGTTCCATCATTTGTCTTTTCTTACTGTCGTTGCTAAGAAACACGCATATATTTGTCTCACATAAAGTTACATGTAATACTATTACATGGAAGATCGAAAAAATAAAACAACGCATATATGCGTCCACCATCCTTACTAGTGACTTTCGTTAGACGTATATGTAGAGTCACACAGTCTCTACTCGCGGGAGAGTACCTCGGAATACTCAGATTCACTGCAGTCTGTATTTTCGATTCGACCTTCAATAACGCGTAACTCTCGCAATCACAACTCTCGGTCTCAACTCTCTCAAGGACTACCTCAATTCTCTAATGACTCTCTCAAAACTCTCCTCTATCTTCCAGAGCGGGCCCTTTTAAGCCCGTCTGGAAGGCAAGAGCCTCCCCCGAAGGAGGAGAAAGCTCCCTCCACGTAACACTCTGGGGTGGAAGGGATTCCTCCTTCAGGTTAGACTCTCCGAAGGGTCACCCACGTGGGAACCCTTCCCGAGAGGTGCTCACGGACGCGTCATCCCCGGTTTACAATGGGGAAAACCGGGGTTGAGCGAGGCTACCTCGCATGGCCTGGCCCCAACTTCCCCAGGCTCGTCTGGCCGCCAGACGCTAACGGGACCTCTATACCTGGGGAAGTCAAAAAATATCCTACATATATATGCGTCCACCGTCCCTGCTGGTGACTTTCGCCGAACGCATATATGCGTCCATAGCGCTCTAAGGGTTAAAAGGGCCCGTTCTGGAAGATAGAGTTTAGTTCGTTAACAGTTGTTGGCAGTCGTTAAGAGTTCGTTTTAGTTCGTTACGAGTTCGTTAAGGTTTTTGGAAGAGTCTTTAGTTGTTGGGAGTTTTTGTAAAAGTTTTTTAAGAGAGAGTTTAGTAAGAGTTGTTCGTTGTTAGTTACAGTCTTTAACACTAGAACTACCGATCTTTAATGGGCACCTAACTATAACGTGCACAGATTATAGTAATTTCAGCGATACGATGAATACGAGTGAATATATCGATTACAGCTCTTTCTTAATACGAGTTGATACCAATTTTATTCTTAAAGCAGGTGTATGTGCTCGGTGATTGCAAAAAGGAAAATTCTGGGACCATTTTGACTAGGTTGGTAGTTCTAGTGTTAATATTTTAGCTGTTCATTTCTTTCTCCAATCCTCCTTTCTGCACCTATTCCAAGGTACTTTCTATTGTTCTAAATGCACGACATAAAATGCATCTTGGTATATATCAGGACTTTTAAAATGAAAGGGTATGGAAAATCCTTGGACCAGTCATTTTGACTGAGTTGGTAGTTCTAGTGTTATTATTTTAGCTGTTCATTTCTTTCTCCAATCCTCCTTTCTGCACCTATTCCAAGGTACTTTTTATTGTTCTAAATGCACGACATAAAATGCATCTTGGTATATATCAGGACTTTTAAAATGAAAGGGTAGACCAAGGGATCTAA